CAACAAGAACAAGAACGATTCTCCCTTTATGCTCAAGCACCAGCCCACCGAGGACGACGATGAAGATGACGACTCGATGTCTGGCTCTGGTCGTCTGACTGCTAGCGATAAGGACGGATTCAGCACACGACCGGGTTCGCTTGAACTGCGTCTGCAACCAACACTGAACTCAGACTCTCCGACCAAGTCAATAAACAGCAAAAAGTCACTCACGGTCAACACAGGCGAGGGCCAGGGCCATACGTTCCGTCTCTTCCGCTCCGTCGGTACAGGCAAGGTCCCGACCAAGAAGCCTTCGTACGAGTCACTCAAGTCAACGAAAGAGCCTCGCCCAGGAATCGGTCGTACCTCGACCGGCTTCTCGTCAAAGGAGAGCACACTTCCCGGTGACAAGAAGTCGCGCTTTGGTCGGCGCAAGGAATCAAAAGCGGAGGATTCCAAACCTTCGGATGACCTCACCAAGATGATGTCACGCGCCAGCAACTACATGACCTTTGCGCAAATCAAGATGCCCTCGGTGGTGCTCTGCCTCAGCTACAAGGGCAAAGACAACCGCAACGTGGAGGACGTGCACGACTTTGTATTCCGCATGCCGGCGGTCGAGTGGCGCAACAAGACGTGGTCGAACCTCGACCTGGCTCTCGCGCTCAAGAAGGCAGTTATCAAGGCTCTCATCTCGCACACCGGTGCCATCATCGGCAACAAGTTCAAGCATCGCCCAAGTAACACGCAAGCCAGCAAGCTTCGGGAACTCGCCAGCGGGTCCTCGCTCATCGCACCCACGCCCTCGTCGTCATCCCAGCATGACGCGGAGAGCATCAACAACAGCGACGACTCGTCGAGCTTATACGGTAACTCGCCTGTCGACTACTCCCGCTCGCCGCCGCGCTCGCACCACGGCAGCTCGGCGAGCAGCATTCCCATCCCGCGGTCGACGAGTCGGAGTTCCAGCGTCGCAAGCGGGCGGTCCCGTCGGATGGGCGAGTCAAGTCTCCAAACGCAGCAATCACAGCAACAGCAGCCCGCCGTCCCCAGTTTCCTCATGATGACGCCGCCGACGCCGCTCGATAGCCGGGCGCCGACGCAAGGGTTGGGGTTCGAGCTGTTGAGGCCTTCTAGTAGGAGTAGTCTGGCGCCGTTTGACCAGGCTGGCGGGGGCACGATTCGCTCGCTTTCACGGTCTGCGACGGGCGCGGAGTCGAGTGATCGGAGGAGGTCTGCCGGGAGCGGGTTTTTGAGGGATAAACTCAGTGCGCTGACGCATCGGAAGCGTGATGGGAATCAGAAGGAGGCTGGCGGTAGTCAGGGCCAGGGGCAGAGGGAAGATACGCCTGAGCGGGAGGACGAGGACGCGAATGCTGCGCCTGAGAGTCCCAAGGGCACGAAGAGGTTTCCTGGTTTGAGCCGGGTCAAGACTGGGTCATAAGGCGGTCCAACTGATTTCTGCGGTTGTAATCTAAATGGAAGTTGCTTGCCTTTGGAGCACAGTAAAAAAGGTGGAAGTAAAGAATTATGTTTCAACAAATGGAAGGGTAGACTCGGGGTTGGAAGAGCGGGATGGGAGGGACAAACTACTAGATTTGTTTTTTTGTGTGGAAGGATGAAGGGAGAGGGGATTAAATACCCGGCGTTGGCTGTGGAAATATTCAAATTCAAACTACGTTCTATTTCTGATGCTGATAGTATAACTGCATTATTCTGCTTTTTGGTCTTGTGTGCTTTCGATGTGATGTTTTTGGGGGATTGGTGAGGCGAGAGGGGAGATGTAGAGAAAGAGGAAGGAGAGGAAGCAGATGTAGATAGTATAAGGTAGGGCTAGCAAGTGGGAGTGTATTATTCTTTTTAAGAGTTACTATCTAGACCCTTGATATGCTTTCCTTCCAAAGATGTAGTCCACTTTGCGATGTTGAGAGTTCATACGCCTGGTACACGGGACTGGGAGGAAGAGGTAAAGAAAATAAAAAGGTAGACCAAGCTCAACATTGAATGAGGGATGACAACCCCTCGTACGACAGGGGATGATATCAGTTGAGGCCTTGAATAAGAGAGCTGGAAAGCTGTTTTGGGTACCCGGAATCCTTCTGACTGTGAATTGAAGCCATTTGAATTTCCAAATTCGACATCGTGAATCTACCTATTCATCACGACATCTCAATCGCGATCATTGCCTTCACTCGCCTCTCCTCCATGAATGAATGGTCTAGTGGATTACAAAGATGTGTGATGCAGAAAATCCAACTGGCGGCAATGCAAGTTCTATATTTGGCGTCGTCGTGGTAAGGGGTTTTAGATACCAACGGATGGGGAAAGGAAGTAAAAAGGTAGGTTTTTGCTCGAGTGGGCAAGTCGTCACCAGACCTGTTTACAAACGAAGAATCTTGATGAATACCCGTGAGTGAAATAAAGCAAAAGTGACTTGTTTGATATTGATCTAGTAAGCCGTCTCTGCAATTTGTTCCGAGAGTGAGTTTGCCCGGATGGAAATGCAGAATAGGAACGCACAACTCGAAAGAGGCAGACAGTGCCAGCTTGGAAAGTCGGCTTGGAGAAATTTCACTCATTATCTGACCATCTCCTCTGACATGAGTATGCTCCATCCAAAAGAACTCAAGTTTGTCTCTCTATAAACACCACGGCCGGCATTGCTCAGTTCAGGCATATCAATCAACTGGTGTCGTCGGGAGATTACGATGACCATTCTCCTCCCTTCCCTTTCCCCGAAACGGAACGGAACGGAACATGCTGGTATTGGGTGTTTCTCCTAGGGATACGCCTGTGGAATTGGCGGGATCAAAGGCTGGAAAAGGAGGATTGGCGTTGTCCATTTCACATAAAGACATTACACTGACATATCGCGTCAATATGTCGCATCAATGTACTACATTATACCCAAGTAGATGCACGATATATCCGGGACAGAAGTTCAGCCTGGTTACAGGGACATGGCCAAGGGTCATTGGCCTGCAGGAGTATCATGAGCCTAAGCTCGCCAACACTATTTGCAAGAGACTGCTTAGCACCTTCTCTCTTCCCCGAGCTCGTGATGGTTTGCCCTTTGCGGGCACCTTAATCGCACATGAGCATAAGGGAAACGGCCTTGTGGAACAGTATGAGCGACCCGAGGTAGGCATTTGGGTCTACATGGTTTACACCGTTCCCCACGAGAGGCTTGTCTCATAGCTCCAGTCACCATAATCGACAGCGCCAATGCGGGGAAAGCTTCACCAAACGAAAGTGAACCCGTGAGGCAAGCAGCAGGGAGCGCCTCAAGAATAAGCCACGAGCTGACTGAAAGGTCTAGACCTGAAGGAGAGGTTCAGTTGGAAAGACACCTCGTCAGTACCAACCACGTCTCCTGTTTACTGTAGCTCTACCTATGTGCCTGATGGTGGCAGGCCGCGTCGTCAAGACAAGAACGTGACAGCCCGCTCGAATGTCTCCTACCAGGACCACCCATACTGTGAGCAACTGCTGCTGGAGCACATGGCTGTCAAAGTGTGGTCACGAATAGTAGCAGACGGGGAGCACGTGAGGTCTGCAGCCATGCACAAGACGCACAGAGTCTCGAAGGGGTGGTACCGGAATAAGCGGCCACAAGACTACGAATAGTGAGGTATCGGGCTATCGCGCATTTGGCGGGTTTGAGTTTAGAGAATGAAGGGCCGTGCGGAAGTACAGGACGCCGTTGAGATCCGGAGCCGTGTTTTGGGGTCTTGGCGCTGATGTTGGTGTTGGAGTCCGCGCAGTCAGTCGCCTACCTTAGAGGTCGCCGTAACTTGGCCAACGGATCAATATCGAAACTTGCATAGAAAGGAAGCGTGTGCGGCCCGCCAATGTTCGTGCCCCCATTTCGTACGCGGCAGCAATACTATGCGTGTTCTTGGCCCGATGCTGTCGAGCTGCGAGACGCGCCGTCGCAAGGGAGAAACGAGTAATATCCACAGACATTCGTGACGTCGAACTTTGGACAAGCGATGGATACCGACGGCCGGGCAGAGGTAGGTACTCACCTGGCTTTACCCCGCAAACCATGGAGAAGTCAGCCATGTCTTGACATGGCTCCGACTCAGTTCTTTGCTGAACCTCCAAGAACCCACAACGACCATCCCCGTTTCCACCCACACCCGCGCCAGAGCCCAGTCGACGATGCCGGCGTTGTATGACGCAGAGTTGGGGAAGAAATAAGCGAATCAGAAGAGAGCGATAAGGCAGCATCTGAGACCCTCGTGAGGGTGTGGGATGGCGTCGCTAGATTTAGGGTGGTGCAGATGATGACTCTTGCTCGCGCCTGGCCATGCGCTAGGTAACTTTCCAGTCTGATCAGTTTTTGACCACACACAGGTGTGTGTAAGCGGCTGGCTGGCCCGGTGTTTGAATGTCGTCTTTTGTAATTCCATACACTGTTCGGAGGGTACGGATATACCAGAGTCGTCTCATGTTGCTACACATGGCTGCATTTGACGATTGGTCCGTCATATATGCGACAAATGACGGGTGAGATAATGTGCTGCCTGCTTTGCGAGCTTTATCTGGGCGGTTGCTACTGGCCCGATGCGTCGCATTCAGGCATCTATAACTGATGCAAAAGACCGAATCGGTGGCTGGATGTTTGCGGTATTGATAGGGATGGAAGTGATGGGCGGCCAAGATGGCGGGGTAAGGCGGACGAGACGGGTGAGACAACGCCCACTGAGACAGTCCTCAATATCATTTAGAGGCAGTTCTTCCATGAATACCACCGTAGCCGCGTGGCTTCCGGGCTTTATGAAAGTTGCGCTTGCTAGCGAGGCACACCTCGGGGCACAACGTGACAACCTAAATACTATCCAGGACTGACGATTCGTATCAGGCAAATTTCTGGCTTGTTGCCCAAGCCTTGGCTCTTGTGGCCGAGGCGAGGACTATAGTAGGTCAGGCTGATTCGGACTTTATGGATGCCAATGTTGAAGCGCTTTGCCCGGGATGTGGCTTCACGGACGGACGAGCGAGCGAGTTCACAGTCATCGGAAATGCATCCCATCCGTCATTTGCTTAACCTGGCGCAGACGTATTGCTCTTGTTGCCCAGGTGAAGATGGTGATGACACCGCCGACGGTGCTGAAAGCGGGAGAGGCGCCCAGAGGATCGACGTAGGCCGTCGCACGGGTGGGATCCCGTATCGGTTTCCCGAGGACCATCGACAAGCTCCGGCCAAGTGCTATTGGATCAAGCAGACGAACGAGCGACATGGGGCCTGGGCAATTGGGCGACCATCAGAGCGGATGGGACGGAAAGTGAGTTGGAAATGGCGCTAAGACTAGCCTGGTGGCAGATGGTCGAAGGCTGCTCTCCGTTCGCCTGCCTGTCTCGTCGATGAGAGCGAATGGTATAGGTCGACAGGGGTTGGAGAAATGGATGTCTGCAAGCTGGCGGAGGAGCGAGAAAGCTACGCACCTTCGCACGGCTTAGCAATAACCTGGGGTCGGAGAAGGCCGATAAGGAAGCCAAGGACCGGACGTTGCGGAGGCCTGCAACTAGAAAGATGAAGACTCCGACAACGGGGCCGATGATATGGGCATTGGCTCTCGGGCTGAGCTGCGTCCGAAATTCCAGGCGCGATACGGATATTAGTGTTCACAATAGAACGGAAGTTCCGGTGCGTCTTGTTTCCTCAGCGTTCTTCGGAGTCGAGGGCCGATATCTAAGAATGGCCACAAGAATTAGCAACCTCTACAGACGATCAGTGCTTGATATCTATGGTTCTGGCCAGCTCAGGGCAGCAACACACATAGCAGCTGCCAGGCACGCTACTGTGTAGATTATTCACACTGGTTCGGTCGGCCGGGACCTGCGATCCAGATGGAGGTGCCACGGAGGGCTTTCGGAAAGATGTGCAATTGGCGCCTGAGATGGTCGGACAAGATGGGGGAGGGATCATTGATGGGACGAAAGTGTCGATGGGGGGGAGGGATAGTGGCTTGCGGTGTTTGGTGGACGCTGATAAGAAGGAGAAGCACGAGGCACACGACAGGTTGAAGTCAAATGCAAGGTACCTAGGTACATGATTAGATATCCACTGATTGGACTCGCATAAACGAGCCGATGCGCATAAAATGGCAGGAGAATGGAAGCTTGTGCACGTTGCATAACAAGGCTGGACCTTCCACCTCAGCTGAACTGCCAGACTGCGCCTTCCAACCAGTGGCCAGCTTTTGGAGGCCTTTTAGAGGCAGGCAGTCACGCAGTGTGGAGGCGGACAGATTGATAGGTGCAATGCAACAAGAACAGCGTGCCAGGAAGTGGGAAATAAACGGGTCTGCAAAGTAGGTACCGTCGTCACCGCCCACTGCCTTGAGCTTCACATCCACATCTCCCAGACTCCCATTGATTGAACATAGCTAAAGTATCTTACGGATAGTTATGCGTCTTACATAAGGTGGTCGATTGCTTTCTTATCCCCGAAACAATCCCATCGCTCTCATTGGCTCACAACCAAATAACAAGTGGCGGTCCGCCATTTCCACAATCGTCGACGGGGGCCACCTATGATCGGGTCAGCCGGGCACTCTCACGGTGAGACCCTGCTGAAGAGTCGTGGGATTGTCTTGATTGTCTTGATTGTCTTGGACCATGCCCGCTAGACTCATCAAATGAGTCCACTATTATGACGGGCTGGTTTCCATCTGCCACTGTTCCAGAGCCACTGATGGGCGCAAAGGGGTTAATTCAAGCCTGTGGAGAGTGTCATTTAGCGCATGGAGGGAGGAGGGCTCCGTGCTTGCCAGTGGCCGTCGGTCGTGTCCTTTAATTGTCACAGTGAGATGAAACTCGGGCGTTGCCCGGAGTGTGCATTTATAATCTGTGATTAACAAGAAGGTATTCATAGACGGAATTCCTAGGTTGATGTTGGAGAGTAATACGGAGCATCTTGGACTGGGGTTGCACTCAGGGCTTGGAACTCTGGCGCGTGACCTTTGGATTCAGGTATCGGAGTGAGACTCTGATGGAGAGACATAGGAACGGAAGAGAGAAAAAGTGACCCCCGTGGTCTCCATTCCCCGTGTTCCCCCTTGAGCCCTTGGCCGTCTTGGACCCCCAAAATCTCATGTCACCCCAAACTCTAAGCCCAAAACATGCGGGTGAGAGGTGACGCTGTGCCAGTAGCCGGTGGGAAGGGTGAGGAAAGGACATGGGGGCAAGGGGATTGGAGGCTTTCGAGGTTCTTATCAGTGACTTTGCTTCCTGCGCAACCAAAACGTGACACGGTGACAATAGAATTGGAAAGTGAACCCTCCCCAAGTCTCTCTGTTGCTTTCCTTCCATACCTTACCTGGGGACCTGGGTGTGGTGGTGTAGGTACTCAGCCGGGCCTGTGCGGCGGTGCGCCCATCCTTCGTTTGTCGTTCGGTCTTGCTTCCTTTGGTGACCGGGTACGAACAGAAACATCTCCAAATCGGGCAGGCAGACAGACGGGGGGGAGCAAACGAGGTAGGCGCACCTCCTTCCTTCTTCCTTCAGGTTGGGCCGATATTACAAGTACCTCCATCCAATACCAGGTTGACTTCCATGCTGCCTTCCCAAGTTGCCAAGTCACCACGTACCTACGTACCTTCCACTTTTTACAGATACCTACCCTCACGCAGCAGGAAGGCAAGTAGGGGGAAGGGAGGGAAAGAGAAAATGGGACAAGAAGGAAAGAACATGTCTACGGGTACCTACCTACCTCATGGATGGCAATGTCCTTTCTCAGCTGAGACCGTGGAGTGAGGTTGTTCTTTCCCAGAGATGCGGCGTGCCTCGCTCTGCCTTGCTTTGCCTCTTGCCCCCCGTGCCTCTAGTCATTCAGCCATTTTTACGATTGACTTCCTTCTCTGCCGAGACTGAGAGAGTGAGTGACTGGCGACTGCCCCATGCTGAGCTGTCCAGCCCGGGCGGGCAGGGGAGATGGGACACCACACCACGCTCCACGACCGTCGACACACCCTCGACACCTTGCCCTTCGATTCCTTATCTCTGGCCTCCCATCTTGGCCCCCCCGTATCAGGGTTATCAGTCGGGTGTCAGAGCATCAGTGCTTGCCCCAGTCCACGGCCCATCTGCTGTTCGCTCGCTGCCTTTCCAAGTTCTCTGTGCTTCGATTACCTCGATGAAGTGACATATCTGTATCATCCGTAATCAGTCAGGGCAACCTCGATCCAGTCTGATAACCTTTCTGTGCTTGGCCACCTAAAACCAGAGAGCCTCCCATCTTGTGCCTGCTTCTTGTTAGGAAGCCATTCTCGACCTCCCAACTGCGACTGTGCCGCCAAGTACGCGAGTCGCTCTCTCTCTCGCTTCCTCACTTCGCCACTCCTCAACTCGCCGACTGTCGTCATCTCTCCTTCTCGACCAAGGCACTGCGCAACGGATACGATACCAATAGCTAATCAGTACCCTTTCTCCCGCAAGCCCATCATCTACCTCGATAACACCGGATTCCGACCATCACAGAACTCCAGGTCCAGCCTTTCCGAGACGAACATCCGACTAATCGTACCTAATACTAATAGACAACATCGTCATTTCGAGTCTCGAATTTCTCCTCGTGACAGTCCACGACAACCTACCCTTCCATCTCACAAGGACGAAAGCATCAATACCCCAAGTCACCGTCAGGCCTTTCCCTGTGGTGCAAATCGATAATAGCATCCTCCACACAGTCGATCATTGTCACCTCTTAACCTCTGACGAAGTACCCGACTCGCGCGCACTTGGCTCTCCACACTCTATTCAAGCACAAGACGAGTGACAAACCGCGCTTTGCACCGACATTACTGGTACACTGGTACACACAAACCCAACCCAAATTCGACGCTGTCAGTACCTATCTGCAAGGGCAGCAAGCAACATTCTCCCAACCCGCCTCCTTGCTTCTCGATCCCTCGCCTCGTCTGCAGCTCCAGTCAAAAGCCGGGTCCGAATACCACCAGGAACCACACATCACATCGCATTACACGATACAAGCCTTTCGGCCCCGTGCTCCGCTGCGTCACGTCCCAGCAATCATTGCCCTTGAAAGTTCCGTCGCGATTCCTGCTGGAGAAGGACTATACAAAGCCTCAACGCTGATTAGCTGCGAGACGGTTAACTTTACGTTACCAAAACATCGACGACCCCTGCCCCCGGCACACGACACACTCAAACAGCGACCGAAAGAGGATACAGTACACGCGCTGGAGAAAAAGGCAGAAAGCCAAAGGCCAGACGAGCACGTCCGTTCGACGCCAAAATTCTGACCGAACTGGTCCCCTAATCGTGCAGGTATCCCTACCTACTTCGTCCACAGCACAGTACCCTCGCCCTTGCTGGCACCAACACTGTGTGGCCTGTACGGAATACATCAGTTCAGTGAATCCACTGGTTTGGTCTGTGGTGTCTGAACCACCAGCCCGCCGTGCCCACGCAACTCCACTGGTCAACCCAACCCATCTCCTGCTTAGCCTGGCCCGCTGGGGTTTATGCTGAACAGTCAAGACTGAGCCCGCAGTAGCCCGCTTGCTTTTGCTCTTGACCTGCCTTGCCAGGCCCAGTCCCGGTTACAGCACCACACCCCGAGTTACACCCTCCTCCCCTGCCCAACGCACTGCGGCACCGAGCTGGTTGTGGTTGTGGTTGTGGTTGTGCTCGTGCGCACTCGTGCCTGGTCTGGTCCCCTTCCACACCCCTTCCCTGTCAACCTGTCTTGCCTGTCGGGTCCGGCTTGCCCCGCCGAGCCACTGGCGCACCAGGGCATGTCCAGACGCCGCCATGATGTCCCCAAGGAGTTTCCTTTACTACAATAGGCAGCCCTCGGCCTCGACCACCCCTCCACCATCTTCTCCCTCCCCTTCGAATCTCACGCGCAAACCGACCAACAACAGCTACGCCGCCAGCCCGAGATCATCCATTGCTGCTACTACGACTGCTGCTGCTGCTACCACGAAGACGACGACAACAACCACTCCCGTCAACATCCCCAGAACGGCTTTGCCTTCTGCCCTACTGGATCGGAAAAAGGATGCTCAGAACGTGTCCGTCACCCTCACGCCTATCCCTACTTCTTCCATTACCACCTCAGCTACCATGGCCAAAAGGAAGGATGCTCGCCGCGAAACTTCTAAGTTGGCGCCTTCGAGCCCTCCTCGGACAACAACAAGCGTAAACACCAGACCGACGACCCCGACTACGCCTGTTCAGATTCCCTCAAAATCAAAGGCCACCCCGTTTTACACCTCTAGCCGCCATGCGCATCGGAAGCCCTCCCGGCCGAGGGATGTTCACTCACCGGACGCCGTCCCGCCTGCCATGCTGGCCTTGCTGGCCGTCACTGATATTCCTAGACCTCGACGCAGCTTGAGGCAGAGGCTATCCAGGGACCAGGCAATGACTCTGGAAGCTGTTATCGAGAGACAGCAAGTCTGCGAAAAGGAACTTAGTCTCACTTTCGGCAAGAGCCCCCTAGACTTGCTGTTATCGCCACCCGACGACCTGACAGACGATGATATGTCAGTTAGCGATAGCGGTCTTGGTTCCGTGTTATCTACCAGAACTGTTTCTGTGGAATCGGTTCCTTCACTAGGCGATTCTTTTTCCACCGACACACTGTCGTCGGTCGAGTCACCTTATGGATCCAGCCCGCGGAGGAAGCGCTCCCGCCAACCCAGGCGTTCGCTGGAGCCCATCTCATCTCCTCCCGGTCAGCCCGAGGACCACCCACTGTCCCGCGACCGGGTCAGCGTCGACGAGATTGACTTTAGAGTGTTCGACGAGTCTCAGGATGAAGAGGACACCAAGTCAGAGTTCTCATTCTCTGACTACACTTTCCCGCTGCGCCCTCTCAAGTCAGCGTTCAAGTCCAATCTGACTGCATCACTCCGCGCCCTGCGCTCGGCTGCACGATCTATCTCAGCCATTAACTTTTCGTCTATCCCGCCCGACGATTTCCTCACGAGATCCATTCTCACCATCGACCCCAAGGTGCCTTACACGGATGAGCGAAGGCCACCAGTACTCGAGGAGGAGCCGTCGGCTGCGTTGCGCCGGTACCTGAACCCCACGACAAACGCTCGAATTGAGCCCCACCCTGTAGCGGCCACTACGCCGACGGGCACGCGAAGCTTTACTGCGTCTATCCAGATGCAAACATACAAGGTTCAGAAAAGCCGGAGTGCACCACCCACATCAACTCGGAGCCCCTCCCCGGCGACATCGGCGGTCACGACTCAGTCAACACCTTATCAGCCCCCAGCACAATCTCCGACCCAGACCGCATTCACGTATCCTCCAGGAGGCATGCGTCAGCGAGAGATGCGGGAGAACTCGGACTTCATTCGTATCGCAGTCATGGAAATGGCGATGCGCAAGCAGGGCAAACTCGACGACCAACGGCCGGGCCGCGCTCGCTGGGCGTTACCGCCGCGAAAGGCCAGCGTACGCCCTTACGATGTTGGTAGCGACGGCGTCCCAGCACGATGGATTCCAGTGTCGCATTGAAGAAAAGTGTCATGCGAGCTTGGTACATTAAGCGACTATCTATCCAGCCTCTATCGCATCAACCCGACATAGTCCACTACGAGAAGAAGAAAAAGAGAGATAGATGCAACGCTGCGCACCGATGCCGCAGCGTGGACAGTCTCCACGGCTTGAGCACGTCACAATCCTACGAGGGTTGAGGTTCCAACACCCATGGGCGACGGCAAGCTTGTTTTTTTCCCTCCCTCTTGCAACGGGTGTGGCTTGTTCCATGGCATGGCGCATCCCCCTCCCGCAACGTGCTGCACTACGACGGTGTTGTCCGCGGAGAAGGGCAGAAAGCAAGAAGTGGGAGGGTCGGGGTTCTGCGAAATGTTGTGGGCTTGCCCTGATTGCACCGTCACTGCCGGGTGGAATCGTCATTCAGCAGGGCCCCCCGAGGCGCTAATTTACGGGGAAGCGTTGGGGCCCGCATTCCCACGCAACAAGGGGCCAGACATTAAGTGCCTGCCTTATCCGATATCGCGGAATGGTCAGCATCATCGCACGTCTGGCACTGTGATTTCCCTGTCGGTCTTTGGTCAGAGTGCCGAGACGAGGGCTCCATTTTCTGCCCGAAGCGTCCAAGAGGCCGTCTGGGGCACCCAAGACGAAAAGAGAGACGCTGTTACGCTGGAACTGGCACGACTGGCTAGCGCCCCCCCAAGGATTTTTTTCTTCTCTCTCTCTTCGGTTCCTTCTTGCGCTTCTAGAAGGAGTCGATCTGCGGGCCTTTTTTACATGCTCTTACCTTACTGTTTGGTAATAGCTAGAGGCACTTTTGCATTTCGCCTACCGCCTGCCGCCTACGGGCGAGGAACTTTTTGATGGCCGACGGCCGACGGCACGCCTTTTCTGCGAAATGAGCACGCACACCTTTTTTTTTTGCGGGTCAACCTTACCTGCTGTGTTTGTCGACTTTTCTTAGAAGCGAGTATCGCCGACTGAGGAGAGCGGACCGCGAGGCCCGATGAGAGCTGGAGCAGTCTGGGTGAGTCACCCGAGGCGTACCAAAGAAACAGGGGAAGGACGGAGCAATCCAAGAAAAAATGACGGACGCGAGATGCGCTGGCAAGAAATTTGCCCTACGAAAGAATCGGGTTTGGAAAGGGGGCTTTCTCGAACGACAGAATTGGTGGACACACGTCCGACACACCCTTCGCGCACAAGCGCACGCAGCATACACAGCCAAGCGTCCGTACCTACACGGCCCGGTTCCGAGAGCATGGCCTGATGCCAGCGACATGCGACGAGCACCTCCGAGTTTCCTCATAGCGAGCGAGCTTGGGAGATGCGGGGCTATGACTGGCCAGCGACGTGGGCCCACATTTCACCTCCAACTCAGCACAACGCACGCTGCAAAGCCTCCGGCACAACACACATTCTCTCTCACACGGGTGAGCCAAAGGACCAGGCCACCACTCACAGCACTTTTTTTATTTTATTTTTTATTCGACACCACATGCATAGCGACGGACTGGGATCATGAGCATTTGAGGCGCATGCATATTTATCATTTTTTCTGTCAACTTTCTTCCCATCCTTCTCGATTCTACTCCGCTCTTCCGGTTATTTCCTTCGACACTGGACTCGGCCAAAGACCCGAAGACAAACCGCTTCGAGGACCCGAAACCCGTAGGTTCGTCGATATCCACTCGGAGGACAAATCCACACCTCACGCGCGGGAAGAATTCGGAGGACGCAACCTGTGGGGACTCTTCATCGGATCCGGTTCCAGCAAGAAGTTCCCCCCACGCCAACAGCCCATCTCCTGGCGGGACATTGACTCGACCGTCGCATGTGAAATGCAGGCCAAGTTGTGACGCCAAAATGACCAAACGGGGATGCAGCGACATGACTCAGGGATAGCGCACCACACACAGCAAGACAGGAACAGGGCTGGGGGGGAGGGGTGGTTCTTTTTTCTTTTCTTCCCTTTCTGATGTATGCACGCGAAATGCGAGAGGACATAGCGACGACGCAGGAGAGCCGGAGTTTTTGGATTAGCAAGGTGCTGCCGTCAAGGTCGATTTGTTACGGCGCAGCGACGACTCCCAGCATGCGTGGATGGGGACATGGGAATCAAACAATACGGCATCAGAATCCGTATGAGGAGCATAGGCGCGCCCTACTGGGGCATATTGTTTTTAGTTGAAGAGCCCAATCTCACATCACATATTGAACAAATATTCTTACAAGCATCTACTAGCGGAGGTTGGAGTGTTGAGTTTCCCACATACTTTATGCAGGGCAAGCAGCAAAGCCCAGGAACACGTTGCGCGAACAGGGGTCACAAAACGCACTGATGCATGGAGGCCTAACTCCAATGTCCATTGATATTTGGTGCAATGCTAGGTGGATGCAGAGCAACTTCCAGACATGAAATGCTGACCGCCTTCAAAAGACCGGCTGCTGCTGATACCGATGGAGCAAATGTTCGGATAGAGCGTGCGAAATTGCGACAATATGACCGGGGTGGGCAGACAGGCGGTCAAGTCACACTCACGAGTCACAGGTGGCAGAAGTCTCGAGAAATTGAGGTTGGGCTGCGGACCATCACTCACCGCAGTAGAAGGGCAGATGCGGCCAAGCCGAAGACGTGGCTCACGACTGGCATGCCTTCTTTGCCTTCTCCTGCAATGTCGCGCTCGCTTCAAGTCGGCGGACCGACATATCATCGGACTTGTCGGGAGACGATGCCCTACGCTACGGCTACCTGGTGGTGGGGTGCCATTTTGATTCGCACTTTCGGAATTACCTAGTCCTCATTTTCTCCAGTAGTGGCATCCACACGGGCCGGAATCACTGACATTTTGACAGCTCCATGTCTGAGAGACGAGCGAAGCCCGTGTTGGACAAGCCGCCGCCAGCCTACGGGATTCGGGAGTGCAGAGGCAGGTCGCAGGCTGAATCCGTAGATACTGGACAGACGCGAAAATCGCCAGGTCGACAATTCCACTTTGTGCGCTTGTGCGCTGGGCCGCCACGCCTCGGCAGTTGGCAGCCATCGATCCCACCAAACTTTGCCCCAAGAAGATGCGGAATGCGGAAATTCCCACTCTCGTCCGATCGGTTACGCGGTTCGCGGATAGAGCTCCAGTCTCCCGACTCTAGAGCATTCTCCAGTCTCCAGAGTATCCTGTATTCGTACGGATGCTTTGCACAGAGTGAGCATGTTCTTCTGTGGCTCACTGGCTGCAGCCCAGTGCGGGAAAAAGTTCGCCACCTCCTTGCAGATGATGTTACCAAATCGTCGGGATCCGCTCGGGACGTCGCGCGTTACGCGATGGTGCGCCCGTTTGCACATGGCTGTGGCAACGACTGTTGGTATCTGCGCTGCTCTGCACTGGGGCTTGTCAGTCATCGCAGTTTCTGTAGCCTTCATTTTCTAAGGGTTTTATGGATATTGTTACGTGTCCAAGGGACAATTTGAGGGGTCCCAGAATCTCCCATGTGGTGTTCCAGGGAGAACCAGTCGACCAGAGCAGTTCGACTTAATTAGGGGTCCTGTCTGCGGGCGCTCCGAAGAGGGGAGATGAGGAGTATCCTTGCAGGTCCTTACGGCGCCTTAGAAAAGCCAGTTGTTGACAACCAAAGAATACGGTCAACATCGTATGGATATGGAGAGCCCTAGGGCCAATCCTAGGGGTGTGAGGTTCAGAAGAGCAAGGACTTGAAGTTGAACTTTGCACGGGGCTCCGGTGGGTGTAAGTCTACACTACGTTGCAGGGATCCGCGGGTGATATCTTATTTCCTTGCGTGCTGCCCGCTTCTTTAGCGGAGTCCTGCTCACTCTTTTTTTCTCTTCCGGCCCCTCCTGCTGATTTTCTATTCGTACACGGCCACGACGGTATGGAGCCCAACCGTCCATCGTGGCCTTCTAGAAGGAGGTTGGGATGTTCCTTGGCTGGACTGGGGCACCCTTCTTATCGTTCCTTTCGGTTCGTGTTTGCCGACTGCCTTTTTAAGAAGGAGGTGTAGAAAGGCTTTGGGACCTACGAGCCTTGAGGGTTTCAGCGTCGGGCGTTGGAAGGGGTATTCGGAAGGCGGTAAGGATGTTTGACGTTGAGGGAACTTTTGGGATCTGCTAGGACCGCGGGGAACCTTTGTTTTTTTTTTGTTCGTGTTGTGAAATTTGACCATGGGAAATCTTGGATTACCTTCCACAGGTAGACTAGAGGAATGTTTCGAAACGATGAGGTGTTGCGATTTAGCATGTGGTGATGTGTTGATCGACGAGGATTTTCGGGTCATGGGCGGCTATAGACGGTGTCAAGTGAAGTCGTTGGATTTCTCGCGTGAGATGCAACTTGCTTTTGGATTGAGGCTCAACGGAAATGAGTTTGTTGCCCTTACGGATATCCACCTGCCATTTCAAGAGTATTCTGTACTGACACGTGAGAAGACATTCTGCCCTTCGAGGCTGGGAAATATTACACAATGGTTATACGTTTGTGAATACAGAAAAGGATCCTTGGGACTTTGTTGACATACACGTTGTGATTTCATGACATTTCCGTCCACGCTAGATATGTGCGTAGGGTAATCGGGAACAAAGTTTACAGGGGAGGAGGAGGAGGTGTCTACGGACTACAGTCACAGTGGGATTGGTAAGGACGGTTATGTATGGACGTTGTTGTGGATGTGATTGTGAAGAAAGGTGGATGGCAAGAACTTTGTGCGAGTTGTATGGACTGCAAGAGTCAAGAGGATGATTTTGAGTTTCGGGGGGCATACTGGGCGATGGGGCTGGCTAGTCAGGGTACTTTGTTTCGATGGATGTAGTCTGCGGACAGCAGATAAGGTATGTAGGGACTTGATGTGCTTGGCGCGATCGGGGAGGCTGTGAGGCGGTGAGGGAGGATGCGAGATGGGTGGTTGGATCGTTTGGTGTGTGCGGCGGTGATGGGACCGCGGGGGGTGGGACGGGACGGGACGGTAGCGGCGATGGTGATGGTTATGGTGATGGTGTGAAGCTTCGTGTTGGGCGAAACGGTTGATCGAGTTTCGATTGAGGCGTTGGGTGACACGTAGATTCTAGTCTGGTTGCGTGATGGGTCTGGGGATGATGTATCGAGAGACTAGTGTTGGTGGTACACTGTTACAACGAGTTACAGAGATTGTACAGCAGAGGCTATACAGAATGTGAGAGTGTGAAAGTTCAGTGGCGTGGATTGCGTGAGGTGATGCGGATATGGTGTTTACGCGTTGTTCTCTTGGATGGCGACATTTTGGGGATGGGTGGTGTACTTGGAGAAGGAGGGGAAGGAGCGTGTATTTAGGGGGAGGGTGTCTTCCCCCTTGGACTCTCTTGGACTTGCCTTTTACTTTTCTTGCTCGTTTGCTTGATGGCTTGCTTTACAGGTTTCTCGCGGAATATTTGGTTGAGGGTCTGGGGCTGAGGTTGTGCTTGGGGGTTATGAGAGGTGATTGATATCGATTGCGTTGGCTGCTATATAAATCGCGATGAAGGACCAGGCTTTTCCATCGCCCCGGGATGAATGAGGATCATACGGTCAGCACGAAGACGACGACGACGACGACGACGACGACAGGCAATTGGATATACGGGCCGGGATTGAGGTTGAGTGGATGGCATGGGAGACTGGCTTTGACTGGTGCAAAGTATGATGGATGCTGTTGGCCGACTGGGAAGGGTAGAGGTTTGAGGTGTCAACAAGAGGAGAGATATGGTGAGGGGATACGATTGGAGCGAGGCGGACGACTTTTATTTCGAAGAACTCGATCGACTTCGACGGCGAACCCTGGGATTGGACAAGGCTGAAATTGGGACGTTGGTCGTGACGATGTTTTCTGAGAACGGGTCAGTTTTAGGGGGGTCACTTGAGCCATGTAGCTTGTTGCTGCTTGGACAGGCATCGACATGTGTCCGATATCAGAGGATTCGATGCGGAAATGGCCTAAGCGATAAATGATGGACGAAGTCGTTAATGGTATTCTGCCGCCCTGTCTAGGGAAGGGTGCCGATGGAAGAAGACGGACCATGACAGGATACGGTAGGTCTAGAAGGAAAGAGGCCATTTGGATACATACGTTGAGAATCGGTTTCCGGGGCCTGGACTATTGTTGATATTTCGGCGCCCGGCATGAGGCGGTTATGATGGTGGAAGGTAAAAGCCTGCGGGAACAGTGAGACTAAGTGAGTGGTAGATTAGGAAGTGTTCCTCTCGGCCTCGGTAGGTTCGTAAGAGTTGACGCAGTTTGCGCCTTGCTCTTTGAGAGAGTCACATTTATTGTTGATCTACGGAAGGCAATGCCAGGCTCTTCCAAGATACATGGATCATAGAGTTTAGTTTACTCGAGATGACCAACTCACCTCTGAGAAGCTAGAGGCCCTTTACCTCGTGGTCGAGTTGGCGAGATGCTACGTCTGAGCCTCGTCCGGAAGACATCGTTGGACGATCTCTGGCATGTTGTGCACCGTTTCGAGAGGACTGATGACGAGGTGGATGAGGAGCGGACGTAGGTCTCGTCTTGAAATAGGGCGATGTTTTGACCTTCGAAGCTCAGCATATCAACTCGTCTATGTATGCATCTAAATATGCAATCATCTTGATAATACGATGACACATACCTCAAAAGACTCTTATGTTATCTCCAATGTGACACAGCGGATCATATGACTGTATCCGATAATACGAACATGACAGACGCTTAATCGCCATGCTCTGAATCTTCATCTCATAAGTTAAATGCGGATCTATGGGTACATGGGAAATACAGCAAAAGGAGCCAAAGGATGATATCAGGCGAACAGCCGGAACTTGAAGGGATGTGAATATGCCCGTGTTCGCGCCGCCATGTACCTAATGCCCATATCGAGGGGCCCGTCTATCGTAGAAGCCTAAAGCGCCCAGGTATTCTGCCCTTGGCCGTGGAGGCTAATATGGGCCACGTGGTTTCAGTCTAGGATCCAATGCTCTCATCTAGGCTGCTACTCTGGAGGTTAGGAGCCAAAGCTTTAGGTTTGCGGTCTCGAATCGGTCGGCGACAGTATTTCTTATCAGAACCGCAAGCAAAGGAGACATCATAGAGCTCGGGAACGCGAGCCCACCACATCCGCTTACATCGCAATGCCTGGGTGGTCCTCCGCATTACCTCTGCCTCGTTCGCGACCCTGGAGAAATAATCACTTCCTTGATACATATAGCCAGTCTTTGAAAGCCGTTGCTCATCCACTCTCTCTGAAGAACCTTCCATTGAGTCCAGAGAGCTGGGGATGTCTGAGAGGTTTGTCTTCATATGCGGCGGGACAAGCACTCCATCGGTGCGTTTTTACCAGGAGATCGCCATCTAATAGCCATGATCATTGAATCATTCTATACAGTAGTGATATTGGCTTATGCTCGACATGAACGTGGTGACATCCGGGAAATACACTCCATAAGCCAGTGTGCTTGGGAAATGCCACATCTAAGGTCGTACATCGCGCCAGATGGTCGTTTCCTGGACGGATGTGTTGAGCGATGAACCTACTACTCGATAAGGGCTGAAGGAAGAAGCTCTTTGACAAGAAATAAGCTACTCGTTTCTGGATGACAGTATTGAAATACTGGATGGCATTGGCTCTGAACATGGTTTTCTTGCTGAGGAACGGCGACGCGCAACTTGAGCCGGTCTTCCTGGGTCTCATCCTAGCGCAAACAAACATTATTGTGCATCTGTATGTATTTCTCACTAGACAAGGCATAGACGTAGAGCGTGATATAGTGCTGGAGCAAGGGAAAGCCGAGAAGCTTCACTGAGGACCCGCCGTCAGGTGATGTTAGCTATGTTTCGGTGACTGACGATGGGGAACGGTGTTGTTTCGCCCGGGAAGGGAAACTTTTGCAAGTGTTATAAGAGAGATGAAATATTCGTGAATGAGCATGATTGGGAAAAGTTGACATCACTTGGTCGGCGAAGTTACTTAGGAGCTCTCACCGGTCTGATGCATTCGATAATTGCAAAGTTCAGAGTGATCTGTGTAGCACAGCAAACATTTAGTCGGAAAGCCTGTGACTGGACCGAAAGAATTAGTAGGAAGGCATGCACATCTAACCAGGCTAGATGTGGCTGCGAAATTCATATCCTTCCTTTGGCAGAGAACCGAAGAAAGGGAGGGACTTCATCGGCACAGAGGCTGCTTTCGCCTGCTGAGTATTCGATGCCAGCTTGAAATGAACCGTCTCGGCCCCTTGGAACGTGTCATCTGAAGGTCATCGTATGTTGAGGCTGAGCTTTTTAGGTGCAATGTATTCGCGGGATACTAGGTGTGTACTTTTCACCCGGAAAACAGCTTACGATTCAAGATCGTGGTCAAGCTCAAGCCTCACGTGGGAAGCTCAAGCCTCACGTGGGAAGCTCAAGCCTCACGAGGGAAGCTCAAGCCTCACGTGGGAAGCTCAAGCCTCACGTGGGCAGCTCAAACAGTCACAATAAGGCTAGAGGGCTTGAAAGACTTAGTGGGATATCAGCGGAGGCACTTCAATCAGGTAAAACATCATTTTACAGCGGCGATTACGGCTCAAAATCATGTCGTCATTTCGGGGCCAAAGCCCACCCTATCCTCTGAACGCCATCTATCATGCCCAGGACCTCGCGAAGACCTGTATCGAGGCCAAGCAACAAAGCGAAACTTCTACCAGACTCACGACGCATTCGCGCTCACGTCATTGAAGATCTTCTTCTTCACCTCCATCGCAACGAGACCAGTCCGCTCCTGCATCGCCACAGTATTGCTGTCCTTCACGAGCTTCTCGAGCAGTCCGTCGACCTTTTTGCTGGCCGCGCCGACACCACCCGTTCCCGGAGCACTCCGTCCCTGACGGGCGACTTGTGTCGTAGTCTCCTTGATCTTGGATGCGAGATCAAGCATCTGTTTGTTTCCGTAGTCGCGATTCGTAATGAGCGGGCTTTGGCTCAGCGTCTGTACCCAGTACTTGTGCCACAGCAGCTCCAGCATCTGGGACTCAAGCGTGCTCTTGAAATGGGACACCTCGAGGCTGTAGTACTTGTTCGCGTGAGCGCCGAACTCTGCCGCCTTCGCCAGAGGGACTTCCTGCCATCCGTCGCTGGTAACGCCACTGCCGCTGGCCCCGCCCTCCTTCTCCTTGATGTAGTTCTCGGGGTACGTTCGGAAAGCTCCAATCTCCACCTTGCCTGCGTTGATGGTGCGGTCAGGGTCGATGACGACGGCGAGGAAGGGCTCCTGGAATTGCTGCTGTAGCGCCTGGGTGCCGACGTCGATGCCGGACAGCCAGCAGCCGTAGCCCGGATGTGAGTGATACCATCCGACGACGTTCTCCATTCTGCCCTGCTCACGGCAGAGGCTGAGGTATTCGACCATGTATTCTTCGGCGTCGCCCTGGGCGTTGACGCGCGTCTCGGTTCCCTCCACGGGTAATCGGAAGGCATCTGTGACGATGAAAGTGTCGCCATTGACATAGCCCTGCATGAGACCCATCACCTCGAGGTTGCCGCCGGAACGGGCGTGCATCACCATCTTGATGAGAGCCACGGCGCTTATGCGGACATTTTTGAAGTGGTTCGGGTTCGCGGCCCACGGGCGGGCGTTCATCTGTTCCTTCTGGGCATCGTGGTCGAGGTTGTAGAGAGCGTCGCGTTTGGTGTCAACCAACTTTACGTTGTTGTCGAGCTCTAGAGCAAGTGGTCAGCTATATTGGGCGCGGCAATGGCGACAGTGTAAAAGATTTCACGACATACCCCACGACTTGAGAGCTGTCTCCATCTTGACTGCTCGTTTCCGCGTGAGCAGTTGTGTTTGCAGGAGATGACGTTGAGGGACGGCTTAGGCTCACAGGAAGGTTGGAGATGCTGGTGACAATGGAAGCACTTACCCCACCATCCAGCTGCCTCAGCCGTATCTTATCGATAAGATAAAGCTATCACTTCGAGGCGGAGCTTGGTGCATTACATAAGCCTTGCTAGGCATTCGCGATTCCAATCGCGACCTGAGGTGTCAGGGGCACTTACAGGCTTACTTACCTGAGAGCTCCACGACCACCCATCATGCACATCATCAACACGGTGAACGCCAATCAAGCATTCGATCACATCAAGCTCAAGAAACACGGTATCCACATACAATGAAAGAGAACCGATGAAAAAGATGTTAGTCAATATTCTAGCTTCGGTCTTGACGAGCTGGCATTGGTCCAGCCGGACTTTGCGGTCTTTAATGTAACAGACAAGATGACGGAAGTTCGCTTTGACCCTTGGGATTCGAGCAAAGTCAAAAAAAGAATCAGCCTACGGTCGCGAGCCATACCAATTGGAATGGAAGATGCGAATGTTCGGCTATGCTCAGGCCTCCCGTCTCGTCTGCTATTTCCATGTGGCTACATACTGGAATTGTGATGAAGTTGAGAACTGCCAAGTGGAACTAGTTCGGGAGATGGCCGTCCATGATCCACGGTTCAATCGATGGTACAAATCAGCGGGAGATGAGCAAAAGATCACGGGGGTTCTTGGGGAAAGGACCGAAAGCGATCTCGACGAGTTGCTGCGACCCAAGGCTCGCAGTTCCTGGCAATGATCCTTTCCGAAACGAATCACTGGGCGTCCCTGGTAGATCACATTCGAATAGCAACTCTTGGCAATGTGCAAATCCGTGAGCCTCCAAGTTGCTGGGTCAAGTGGCTCCAACAAACGACACACGTCATGGCATTTTCGGATATCGCCAGTCCCGGGTCAATTATTCGCGTACTTCACCATGGATGTCCGTCAACTGGTCTTTGGGATCTTGATCGGGGTCTCCGCTGCTTTCGCATCCACCATACGGACGTTACGAGCGCGATAACGAGGGGTGTCCTAGTCACCCCGCCTCCGCAATGGGCGGCCGGTCCGGCTCCGAGATGTTTCGATATCGTCCCAACGTCAGGAATGACTTTGAGGCGAAACACTAATTTCGTCGCAACACGTTGCGGTTCATGCAAGCAGCAAAGGAGAAAAAAGAATCAGACCGAAGTCTGCCGGCCTTGCGACGGCAGTAGAGTTTCACGGTCAACGACGCACGACCAAGGACATGTTTGGGCCAAGAGAAAATGCACTTTGGTACTGTCATTATTACTGTTAAAAATATATGGAAAAATGAGAAGCTGATTTTCTAGTCTACACAACACAGCATTGGCCAAGTTGGTTTGCGAACGCGAACCAGTCAACCGAATCCGAACTTGATGTAATTTGCTGTGAATTTCGGACTCTAGATACAAGGAAGAACTGGCGGTCGTCTCAACTCAAGGGTTGCCCGGGTCAGAGCATTAAGTTGTTGGCCCCCATGTCTGCCACAAAGTTGGACAACCCCCCTTAAGCGGTGAAAGCGCGAGCCTCAACGGCGGCGTACTCGTCGCGCTTAGCGGCCTTGGCCTTCTTGGTCTTCTTGCCGCGGTGATGGGGCTCACGAGCCTCAACGGCGTGCTCGGCAGCGTCCTCAGAAGCGAACTCGTCACGCTTAGCAGCCTTCGCCTTCTTGGTCTTCTTGCCGCGGTGGTGGGGCTCGCGGGTCTCGACGGAGTGCTCAGCGGCGTCGTCGGAGGCGGACTCGTCACGCTTAGCAGCCTTCGCCTTCTTGGTCTTCTTGCCACGGTGGTGGGGCTCGCGAGCCTCAATCTCGTGCTCGGCAGACTCGATGGCTTCGTCGGAGGCGGACTCGTCGCGCTTGGCGGCCTTCGCCTTCTTAGTCTTCTTGCCGCGGTGGTGGGGCTCACGGGCCTCGATCTCGTGCTCAGCAGACTCTACGGCCTCCTCAGAGACAAATTCGTCACGCTTGGCGGCCTTGGCCTTCTTCGTCTTCTTTCCACGGTGGTGGGGCTCGCGAGCCTCAATCTCGTGCTCGGCAGACTCGATGGCTTCGTCGGAGGCAGACTCGTCGCGCTTAGCAGCCTTGGCCTTCTTGGTCTTCTTGCCGCGGTGGTGAGGCTCGCGGGATTCAACATCGCGGGCCTCGAGGGCCTCGTCGACAGCAGACTCCTCACGCTTGGCGGCCTTGGCCTTCTTGGTCTTCTTGCCGCGGTGGTGGGGCTCACGAGCCTCAATATCACGAGCCTCGAGAGCCTCGTCGACGGCAGACTCCTCGCGCTTGGCGGCCTTGGCCTTCTTGGTCTTCTTACCACGGTGGTGGGGCTCGCGGGCCTCGATGTCGTGAGCCTCAAAGGCTTCATCGACAGCAGACTCCTCACGCTTCGCAGCCTTGGCCTTCTTCGTCTTCTTGCCGCGGTGGTGGGGCTCGCGGGCCTCGATGTCGTGAGCCTCAAAGGCTTCATCGACAGCAGACTCCTCGCGCTTGGCGGCCTTGGCCTTCTTGGTCTTCTTGCCGCGGTGGTGAGGCTGGGAGGTGTTAGTATATACATAACTCTTTGACCTGAGCACATTTGAGAAGATTGAATTTTACCTCACGAGCCTCGATGCTGGCAGCCTGGGGCGCAGCCAGGGCAGGCATGGCGAGTGCCAAGGCGGGAGCCTATTTAACCTCATATTAGTCCTCGCGTTCCCACACTTTAGACTCATCGTGGAAGGCAAACTTACTACATAGCGTCTGGCGACCTGACCCGTGGGGATGAGGTTCAACGATTGAACACCTTGGACGGCAAGGATGCTCGCCAAGAGGAAGTGGCCAAAGGATGGGTAGTGCATCTTGAAAAGAATGATTGGCTGACCGGCAGCAAATGACAGCAACTGGATTACAAGAGAAAGGAATGAAGGGTCGCGTCAAGCGATCAGGGGCCAACAGTGGAATGAGATGTACGGATGGTCAGGCAATGGTGGGCTGATGAGCGGGTTTGAGAAGATATTATATCTTGCTCAACGACCTCTGCGTTTTCGTCCCTCCACAGCGAGTTGACAAGGCACCCCCCCTTTTGGCACGGCACTTGGTCCATTCGCGAGTCTCCATTCGACTAAGTGACGAAGGCATGGGTTGAAGCCCCAAGTTTGGACGAAAAGGGCCTCGACTAGAAGGCGTCAAACTCTGATCGGCCTGCCGCGTAGGACCAGAAACGTCTCAGAGTCGGGATACCAGATGGAAAGGGTCTGAAAGGGGGTGGAGAGACAGGGCCATGGGCTATGACGGCTTGCGATAGTTGCTCGGACTGAGCTAGCCGCAAAAGATGGGACTCGTTCAAAACTCGTCGGGGCTACGCTGATGATGTCGAACAGCACCAAGATGCTGGACGCGGGGAGGCTGGAAGGGGAGGTTCCTGGACTAGGATATGAGCCGAATCCCGCGCTTGCGGTATCGACGATGGTTGTCGTCCTCCACTTCGAAGCTCGTATACGGAGTACTCCTCGTACCAAGCAATGAGAAGACAACAAGCATACTACCTTATTCCCTTTAGACATGAACATGGATGTGGTACTGGACTCGCTTGCAGTTTCAGTTCCAAGAAGTTCCAAGACTACCCTGGGCGGTCAGCAGACGGGGAGCACACAGGGGAAAGCGAGGGTGTTCTCTCGTTGTGCCTGGCGTCTCGTTCGACAGACCCCAACACGATCTGATGCTAAGCCTGATCGACAGGACGTTACGGAAGGTCTTCGCGACGCCGCAGTGTGTCGGGGAAATACGTTGGTAGGGTGGCCCGGTGATGATCCATCAGCCATCTCCTGTCGTACTGTTACTCGTACGCTAGAGAGGATGAGCCGCACAAGGGACCTCTGATACAGCCACAGTCCCAGAATGCCAAGACCTGACAGCAACCGAACCTGGGTCAAGATTAAAAAGGTGTACCGACTCAAAACCGACCACTGTTGGTGTCCTGTGGTGGTGGATATTCCATGAGCAATGCGGCATCAAGTTGCCGGGTTTTGAGCCTCATAGGCGGCCCGGGCTCTTCCCTGGCGCCTTGCGGCGTTCGTGAGTGGTCGGTGCATCCCCTGTGGGATGGGCTGGAGGCGCTGGAACGTGGTGACTGGTCGTGGGATCTCCCCCGCAAGCCACACCCTGTCGCACCAAACTCCGCGTTTCGACACACCCCTGTTCTGAGACACCGCACCAACGCCTCAGCTGTGCCATTACCAGGGGCCCCTTTTTCTTTGCTTCTTTCTCTCTCTTTGAGTCTCTTCAACTCTTGACTATGGGAAGAAGGTTCTCAGCTCTCTATCACATTCTCGAGGCAAAAAGCCTGCTGCAGGGACGGAGACAAGGATACAAGAGCCAGGGCTTGGACCTGACTAAACCTGACATGAGTAGCCCTGCAGATGTTACCAAGACTGCACGAAATCCCGTTCATGGGATTGTTCATCAACAAGGGCCAGCCCAATCATCGCCGTGGTTATTGGACGAGAGCGGCTAATTATTTCCGACCATCTATTATCATCCCTCACTGCACGGCGCACGTAGCACGCAGTATTGCCCATGATCACTTGAACCAAGGCTTGCAACTTGACCGAGTCGACTTACATTCCCGGTCCCACCCCCGGCTGTGACGGACTCGACCTCTTTTCTGTCTCGTCTATTCTTGCTTGGGATGATCGGCTTCTTGGCCTGTGCCGCAACTTCGCAACGAAGATCAAACAGCCCAAACGTTTCTGGTGGCTGGATGACATCTCGCTAGCTGGCAATTTCCATCCGACTATCCAGAGCCTATGCCACTATGGTCCATGGATCCCAAGTATCCCAACGGGGCGAGGTTGCATTGCACACACCTGCCAGACGGCGACTTTTCCTCCCTCGGTCTTGAGCGAACTGGGTCCCCTTCCAAAGTCGAGTCCTGTCATTGTTCGAGTTGGGACATAGTTGCGGCGCGTAGCCTCTCGCTGACGCCGCCTCTTGCCCGTGCCCTCTCTCTCCCTCTCTCCCTACCGAGTCTCCTCTTCCCACACCCATCGACTAATCGACTTGGACGGTCTGTGATCACCCATTAGTTTGGTAATCTGATTTTCCGCGCCCGAAGCGATCGTCTTGGCACTCGTCTCTTCTTACCTTCTCAGAGAGCTGCTGGCCTTGCCTCCGAACTGTTTCCCCTCCCCTTCTCCCCGTTCTGTGCTTACCACTCTATTATTCTCCCTTCTTGTCTCTTTCTTGTTTGGTCACTTTCAATTCCCATCATCCGTTTCTATACCCGACTTGACGTCGTTGTACTATTCCCTTGCTGTCAAATTCGTGACAGCATCCCTTCTTTCGCCTTCTATTCTTTCTTAATTAAGGCACCTGGCGTGCTCCAACTTAACCTTCCGGTGCTACTACCTTGCCTGCCGAAGAGGGTCCCTCTCTCTTTAATAATTATGTCTTCAGAAAAGGTCTACCGGTCCGTACCCCACGAGGAGGAGGAAGTCGAGAGTCTCGCCGGAAGCCTCAACACGGAGAGCACGGAGAACGTAGAGGCCGCTACAGGAGGAAACGAAGCGACATGGAGGCGGATGAGGCTCGGCGATGAACACCCGTGCAAAGAGAAGGCGCGGCGGATTCTGCGGTATTGGCCTTGGGCTCTTCACGCCGTGCTTTTGACGACGTCTGTCACGCTGTTTGCTGCATCATTCTGCCTTCGCTATGGCAACACCAATAAGGACGATACTTGGGTGACGGAGAAGTACTCGTCATGGTGTAAGAATCATCGCCCAATGACTATCACCCTTCATCATGGCTGACAGTTCATAGCCCCTGCTGCAGGAATCATCAAGTACCACACCGAAAGGTACAACCTGACGCCCATTATGGACTGGTCACCCTTTGTCGGTGCTGGATACGAGATCGACAGAGCATGGGATCACATCACAAACAATAGTAAGAAGACGACCCAATGGCTGGTGACGTGATGATAGAAGCTAATGAGGCGTAGTCGGCGACCAGATGATCTCGCGCGCCGAGCTCGACAAGCTCGGTCTCGATCCCAAGTCAATCAAGACCACCAATGCCGTCACGGGTGAGGAAGGTTACCGTGTCGGCCTTGAGGTGTTCCACCAGCTTCACTGCCTGAACCTGCTCCGTCAAGCTACGTACCCGGAGTACTACTCAAGGAAAGAGGTCGGCGGCGACGTGGCCGTTGAGCACAAGGACTTGAGAGGACACCTGAGTAAGTCACCACGATTCATGAGCCATGAGCGTGAGTGGCAAGAATGCAGAGAAAACCGCATTGCTAACGAGCTCACTAGACCATTGCATCGAAGCC